GCAGCCTCGACCTGCTGGGCTCTGGTGATCCTTCCGCCTCAGCCTTCCAAGTAGCTGGAACTACAGGTGCAGGCTACCACGCCCAGCTAATTTTGGATTTATTGTAGAGATGAGGGCTCGCCAAGTTGCCCAGGCGGGTCTCGAACCCACGGGCTCAGGCAATCCACTCACCTCAGTCTCCCAAGGCGCGGGATTACAGGCTGAGCCACCCAGCCCGGCTGAACTCTCTCATTTCAAAGCTTCAAATAGCTTTTAATAAAGGAGGTATATAGATCACATATAATATTGACATTTGAATACTTGGACATGGGGCATTTGGAGTTTGAATAAATTATTCTATAAGGGTCTATCTTGGAAGATTCTTGGAAGGGTCCTGGAAGGATCTAGCTTGGTATAGTTTTTATTAGAGAAACTTATCTTGCAGAAATGCTTTCTAGATAGAAAGGTTTATTTTTATTTTTATTTATTTTTTGTCTTTTTGTTTGTTTTTTTTTGAGTTGAAGTCTCACTCTGTTGCCCAGACTGGAGTGCAGTGGCCACTCCCGGCCACTGCAGCCTCAACATGCTGGGCTCCGGCGATCCTTCCGCCTCAGCCTTCCAAGTAGCCGGAATTACAGGCATGTGCTACCATGTCCAGCTGATTTTTTGATTTATTGTAGAGATGAGGTCTCGCTGCCTATTTTTATTTTTTATCTTATGCTTTCCAATTTGAAATCATTTAAATATTCACACCTTAAGGGCATGAACAGAGTGAGGTTACCTTTGTTTAATAAAAGCAAGGCAGTCTGAGAAACTTGAAAAAAAAGGACAAATCATAAGAAGGACTATTTTATGGAATGAGTAGTAAACTAAGAATTGATCCAGACGAAAAATATTTGGTAGCTTTAAAACGATTTCAAATTTATTTGTATTAAAGCTTCTATTTTGAGAACTGCCAAGACTTGGTGCTAGATAACTATAAAAAAATTCTTAAAAAAAAAAGAAATTCTTATGATTTAATATATTTTTCAGTCTTTTTTTTTAAATCGGAGTCTCACGCTGTTGCCCAGGCTGGAGTGCAGTGGCACGCTCACTGACACCACATCCTCGACGTGCTGGGCACAGGCAATCCTTCTGCCTCGACCTTCCAAGTAGCTAGAATTATAGTCATGTGCCACCACACCCAGCTAATTTTTTGATTTATTGTAGAGATGAGATCTTGCCAAGTTGCCCAGGCTGGTCTCGAACCTTTTGGTTCAGGTAATCCTCTCACCTCAGCTTCCCAAAGTGTTGGGATTATAGGCATGAGCCACAGCACTCAGTCAATTTTTAAAGTCTTCTAGAGACTACAGCACATAATGGAAATACTCATGATACTCAGTGGTGATGCCAAAGAGAAGAAAGTGGTTTTTGATAACCATGGAGCCTACACAAAACCACATATCTAGGAAGAACCAAGGGCTTGAACCTGTCCTATGCTAGACATGATGCATTTCCAGAGAGAACTGAACAGGAGATGTAGCCTATTGTGACTGTGGCTCTACTACATCCGAAGCTGCAGTGGATTCAGATAATGCAGAAGAATGTTACCTTTTATAACTCACAATGAATGTGACTGTACAATAAATCATTTCATAATATTTTTTTCGGAAAGAGAAATGAGTTGGAACATACGATCTCTCATTGACGCTAGAATCTTAAGAATCCATCAGGGATGACAGTTATTCCTACTCTCCTAAATATCATGTTGCCACTGTCAGAATCAGATCTAGATGGATTAAGGGTGTGACAGTTTGACAACTCTTGGGTACTTAGGCTGATAAGGAAGCCAGCAGAAAGTGGGCTACTATAAAGAAAACAGGCTGCAAGTAACCATATCATTCATGTATTTAGGCCTCTTTCTTGTATTCCAGACACTGTTACACTGTTCATGGCACTGGGAATGCAAAACAAAACGAGACATGGCCTGATGGGGGAAACCTTCTTAGTGGAGAAAAGATCAACAAGAAAAGTGCAGGCTGGAGGCCTCCCCTAGGGCTTATGGCCATATAGAGGTGGGGCAGCTACAAGAGGTGGGGCAGCTACGTCAGCCTGAGGAGTTCTTAGGCAGAACAGAAAGTGAGAATCAGAACAGTATCTCATTTCTAAACGAGACCACAGGATTGTAGGAGCTTCCCCTTGACGGACTGGCAAAGGGGTGGCTTTTGAAAACAAGCCAAACAGATAGATATCCATCTTTTAGGAAGACCCTGGACCGTGCCAGTTGATTCTGACAATTTTTCATGAGCAGAGACACCTGGGAGAGAAGAACAGGTGAGTCTTTGTAAGTGGAGGAAGTCCCTTACAAGGGGCTGTGTTTCATAAACGGCGCCCCAAAACGGCTGAACTACTTAGAGCTGGAGGGAAAAAAAGCCTCGGGCACTTAGCGAAGGCGAGGGGGCATGTCTGGAGTAATTTCAAGGCTTTTTCCATCTTGTCTGATGGGGCAACAAGGAAAGATCCGTTCGTTTTATTTGTCTAATTTTTAAAGATTTTTCTTTTGCCCCCCTTTCGCTCCCAGCCACTCGGGTTTGGGTTTTCCATATGACTCATAATTCCTTTCGAAAGTGGAGTGGAATTCATAAAAGTGCTGGAAGGGGGGTGGGGGGGCCGGGAGCGCTGGGAGCCCCAGGGCGGCCGCACTACCTACACTGCCACTCAGCTCCCGACGCGAGTGGAGGTCGGGGGCGGGGAGCTCCGGCTTGCGCCGGGATGGCGGAGACGACGAGAGCCCCGGCGGCCCGCGGCCGGGCCGGGTGACCAGGCGGCGGGCGCGGGAGGGTCTGCGGCGGGCCGGCGGGCCGGCGGGCGGG